CCGGGGTAGGAATACAGACTGCGGCCAATATAAAGCAGCCCAGTTTAACTTAAAATGAAGAAACTCTTACTCCCTACTGCCCTCTAAGTTAACTCCAAACTAAAGCAAAAGCCTCTAGTTCTGCAAAAAGAACGAGTTAAAATGATGTCATTTACAGCGTCTTCAAGAGACCAGCCTGGGCTCTGCGCCCCGTGGGCTGTGCTGGCTTCACGGGCTCGCGGACATGATGCTATTAAAGCACATTTTGAATTTTGGTAGGTGGAGAAGTGTCCTTGTCAAAAATGACGGAAACAGCGATAACCTACCGCCTCCTCCCAGGTAGATCAGGCCCTGAAGAATAAAATCAGATGCCAAACTTGCCGGAAAGCTCCCCGGCAGTATTTCATTGAACCTATACAAATATTTTATCTTACACTGAGAATCGTCATTAGCTTCGACTGTAAAAATTCCCCCAGTTGTTGCCTCCAACAAAAAATAATGCTAATGTTCAAAACTCAGAGTTATCTGGGAAAGAGGAGAGGGCCAAGTTCAGAAGAGCCGCAGCCTCTGCAGGAGGAAGGGCAGACGCGAGCAGCGGAGAGGCTGCGGGACAAGTTCGCCGCGCGAGTGGAGTCTCATCCTGACACGCTAAATACGAGAGCGCGAACAGAGAGCGTGAGCCTTGTCGCAGAACGTTCTGTGTATGTGTAATATTTCATCATTTAAAGTTTAAAAATATTCAAGCGTGAGCACAGGAGTCCCTTCGCTTTGGAGTACAATCTGATGTTGGGTGAAGGTCTGGCAACTTGTCAAATAAACTGCTTGAATAAACACTGTGATAAAATATGTAAATTTAATTATTGCCATTATTTTACGATGGTAAATCAAGGATTCCGGAAGCTGGAAACGTGATCAAACAGCCAGACCAGGTCCTCTGCCAGGGAAAGGCACAATTAGTGACGCGCGAGGCGCACAAGGCAGCGCCAGATAAGCCACATGGGCAGCGCCGTCCACCCTGCTCATCTGCAGGCCCCAGGAGCAAAAGGGGCTCCAGTCTCGCTTCTTCAAGACATGAAAATTCAAGATTTCTCTCGCGAAGCTTATGTGCGACTTCTGTATGCTCAGCCAGTGAGGGCGGAGGGAGGCGTGTGCATCATGGTCTCCGGGCCCAGCCGTGTGCCCTCTTCAGTGGCCATCCCCCACTCTGGAGCTCCCTGGGCCCCCACAGAAGCACAGGCAAGGAGGAAAGGAAATCAGGGTGAGATGTGGGTAGCACCCCTATTAATATTAGGAGGATTAATCATGTTATGTCTTCATGGGTGCACACGACAGCACCCCACTTCTGCCCCATAATCATTGTTGCTGAGAACAACTATCCCAGACACCTGATTACCCTGCTGTGCCATTGCCAAGCAGACCTTCCTCCTCTCAAAAATACCTTCCTCCGCAAAAATACTCCTAAGTCTGTCATACTAATATCAGGTGGGCTAAGGAGCAAGAAAAAGCAGCAACAGGTACTTAATGCTGCTATATTCCCTCCCTGGGCCTCACACACTAGCAAGTCACGAGGTAACACTTCAAGAAACCTGGTGGGTACTTAGTCTCCTGCGGTGCTTGTCTCGATGTGCACACACTGAACACGATGCCTGCTTCTGGCCAAACCTGAGGCAGCCGCAGAAGCCACGAGTGACCGGGAAGGCCTCCGTAAAACGCGAGACTAGAACAGCCCCTGGGTTGCCTCATTTTTATTATTTGGTTTCTGACATCAAAAGGCTATTGAAGCAAGTGTACTCCTAGTCACTGTTTCCTACTTGAAAGACAAAATGAAATTGTGCACCCCACTCGGCAGCCACAAGCCTCGGGTGGGGGGGGGGGGGGGTGTCTTCAGCCATTTCATATTTTGGTTCACGAATATCTTTCTGACAGAGAATATTCAAATGAGTTATAAAAATGCTGGCTTTGATGCTAATAGGGTTATGATGGTGTGAAATGTACAGATAAGTAGGTATTTTTCAAAAGGAAATGAAAACCAGTCATTGGAAAAATATTTACAGGGGAGAATAAAAAAAAAGGCATAGAAAGTCACTCGGCTGTTTTCTGGATTAAGTGTGTGGCTCCTGACGTCTGTAGCCCTCTCCGACTTTGGTTCTTCCAGGTTTGTTTGCCTGCAAGCATTTTACTGTTTCTTCATTAGCACCCTCCCCCCGCAGAGGTGCCAAAGGCTAGTATATAATCATTACAAAATAATCTGGCTGTCACCTTTAATGTTAAATAGCGTGTGATTGACATCGAAGGAGTGTCAGGAGCCTTGGCTGTGTGAACCCAAAAAAAAGGCCTTGGGGTCGAATCTAGCTTTTGTGCATAAGGCAGGGAGGCCCAGAACACGAGCCCCCAGACACACTCTCCCTTCTGAACAGCCAGCCCAGACCCTCATGTCCCGAGGTTTGCAAACTCTGTTAAAATGGTTCCCTCGACAAAACAGACTTGCTCTTCCTTACGTGACACTTGTGGACCGTGTCACCGTCAGGCCCACAGTCCTAAGATTTGTCCAATTATATTTACGCTAAAGATAAAAATCAGAGATTACTGGAATTTAAATGATAAAAAATAAATTTCAAAGACAAGCAGAATACTTACAGGCCCTGAGTTGTTCTGAGGTCCTTGCTTTCCTTGAAAACACAGAGCTGGCTGAGCCAGTGTCTAACTACCGGTAACATGGAGCCTGGCTCAGCTATTGTTATGCCTAAGAAGGCACAGCTTGCCCTGCAGTGTTAAAATAATTCAAAAGCGCAAAACTGAAAAGTTACCAGTACTATTTTCCTGAAATGGCCTCCAGTGAGTGCCTTGCCTTTGGTCCAAGGAAAGTTCCTTGAGTTTTAATTACACGAGGAGATTTAACCGCAGAGATTGTGGCGAGAGCCAGCAATGAGCCTTCCCGCTCTGCATCGGTTTAGGTATTAGCAGTCTGTGACCTTATTCACGAATAGTTATTCCAGAGAAACCCACTGTTTACCAAGCATCACAGAATGTGAAAGACGCCTGCACGGCTCCGAAGTGGCCTCAGAAGCTAAGAAAGCAGACGTGAGCTGACTGGCCAGGGCACACGCCTGCAAGAGCATTTATCGGGGAGGTGCGTGGCAGAGGCTGGGAGCCAGGTGGTTGGGAGTCCCCTGCTCCCAGACTCTGACTTTCAAAGACTACATAAAATTGAGGTCCCAGTTAGTTCTCAAATCAAACCATTCTTGATACCCACATTTAATTATCGGTGGTGGTTTTTAGGATCTGCGCCACCCCAGAGAACCAGGACTAATGACACTGTTCCCTTTTCCTAAATGCCCTGCTTCCCACATACAATGATTAACCAGCAAGTGGGGGGCGTGAGGGCGAGCCCCTTCTGCATGGGACAGGCTTGGCTGGGAGGAGCGGTCCTGGGAAGCGGCTGGCTGCAGGCTTGCTGTTCTGGGCCCCTGGCGAGGCAGGCGGGAGGAGCTGGCTGCCGGCTGACCCCTCCTCTCTGCTCTCAGCAGGAGCTGCCTCCCTCCCTCCTCCCTGGTTTGGACTCAGGTGTTAGAAAAGTAAGGATTTCAGTGAAACACTTCTGTTTTAAAAGCCCAAACATGATTTTTTATAATTAAAGCCTCACAATTAGGACGGACAAGCTCAGGATGACAGAATACAGCCTACGTGGCTTCTAGAAAAGGCTCAAGGACAATGAAAACAGAACAACACAAAGTAACCTCCTCACATTGTTGACGGCCTCCAGTTTCTAGAAGATTCCATTGACTACACTGATGAGGCAGTGAGTGTAGGCCCTCCAGATGCCAAGGCCAAGGAGCTATCTCAGGGCTAGCCCTGGGAAATGAGGCGGAGGCAGCCCCCTCCTCCATATTCAACATACTACACACAATCTTGCAGTCTCACCTGTCCTAGATCCAGGGTTAGACAATCTTAGGAATGCTTTCTTCCAGAAATGTCAGTGTGACAGTTCATTGCTACTTAGCCTCTATTATGCTGTTCCAGAAAACCTGGCATTTCAATTTCTGTATCATCAGGTAAAGCAATGGCTAAGTCAGTATTCCAGCTTCACACATCAATCTCGTGGCTAATCATTTAGGCAACTAAAACTGATTATTTTTCCTTAATATTTATAAAAGCAAATACTGTTCTAGAAGCCGATGCCAACTACGCCCGCTTTACTCCCTGTTGATTTATGTGACAAAGGAAATACAGAGGCAGTTTTAATATGATCTTTACTGGAAAATATATAAACTCCCGTGACTTAAGTGAAGTATAAGTGGAATCACCGTAGTGTCTATTAAGAACTAGCTTGCTTGACTGTTATTTTCCAGCACATAAATAAAAATGCAAGTACTTAAGTGCCCCTGGGGGCCTCCTTTTGCATCTTAACTCGATTTCTTTTTACCTTTGCTGCCACTCAACACAGATTTCCATCCCTGGCCTAAGAACATGCCTCCATCCTACCAATTTGTCCTTGGCTTGTTACCATGAAACTAAACATATGAAGAAATACAAATAGAGTTGTGATATTTGCCTTAACGTCACAAGATAAAGACGAAAAGCATCACGCCATCTTCCAAGGTTTCCTCTGTCAAGTTTCAGAGGTGCACTGCTTCACAGATTATGGGGTGACCTTTCCTGAGCTCTTCCCATTTATTCTAGAAATCACACAAAAAGTTCCCTATCAGAGGGTTATTTCATGGGCTGAGTTTTCCAAGGATGCTTAAAGCACAGAAAGCTAAAAAGGACATAGAAATTTAAAATCAAATACTTCCTCAAATGCAAAATGCCAGGTAACAGAGAACTTGGCCTTATTTCCATCCCAGAGCCAGACCATGGGGAGGGAGGCAGAGGCAGCCATCACTAACCTCCTTCAAGTGTGAGGCAGCTGGAGCAAGAAGGTACAAAGCTAGTTTGCTGGTTTCCGGGGGGAGCTGACCCGGGGAGGAACTGACCGCACAGACACTGACCAGTGTGCCCGCCCCCGCCAAGCGTGTCCTTACCATGTCCCCGGGCTTCACAGACACGGCCACCACCACGCCAGGCATCGGAGAGCGCAGAATGCTGCTCGTGTCCTCCGCCACTTTTTCCAGCATAAATTTGTTCAGTTCTGCAGCCAGTTTGGTTAAGATGTGCACCTTGTACTTCAGGAGAAAAAAACAAAACATAAAACACTGAGTTTAAAGACTGAACTTCCCTCAAAAGGAGCACTCAATCAAGTCAGACTGTAGCCTTTAAATGGAAATTATGACATCTTTGAAATGAAACGGTGTTTAGATATTGTCATAAAAACAAAATATATTCATTCGTTTCTGGCATGTGGGGTATGCCACAACTTATTTAAAACCTCTCTCTTGAAAGAAGAACTATTCCCGTCATTAATGAGTGACAACAGTAACCATCCTCTGTTGTTAAGAAAACATCTCAAAAATGTGATGGACTAAACGGAATTTTCAGTGCTTGCAAATTGAACCTGATGAATGCAAATTCCAAGAGCCGGGTCGGCCAAAGGCGCGGCGATGCCGCCAGGCGCCAGTAGGTGGCAGCAGACCGCTGTCTCAGAGCCCTCGAGCAGAGGGGGCTGCGGGGCTGCGTCTCAGTAAGTTAAGACAAAGGGTTTCAGTGTTCATTTGGGGCAACCTAATGGTTAGAATTCAGAGTTTTTCCAGTGACAGAAAACGCTACATTCACGATTGGAAACGTTAACCTTCCAGGCGCAGCATGGCATCGCCTCTCCACCGTAAGGAGATGGTTCGGGCAGACGGAGACGACCCAGGATGAGAAACCCTTCTGCACTGAGATGCAGTGTATCCGGATTTTTAAATCCTAGAAAGAAAGCCAAGTATCGTAGGCACCTCTTGTAAGAGGCTCTAAACAACGGTGGCACAGTACAGGCAGTTGGGTCCCACAACACATTTGTGATATGAGGATCGCTGCCTGGAAAACCCTCCATCTCTGGGAACGCATCCTCCAGCCAGAGCCAGAGTTTGGTCTCTCCGAACAGAAAGAAAATGAAATGGCTTGAGGAAGTGTCCCTGGGTGGAGGAGGAACCACCTGGAGCTCCTGGGGAATACCAGCTCTCCCTGGTGTGCCTGCATACCCCCCCACTGCTAGCTTGGAAATGAACTGCTGTAACAGGAAGCCTCCTGTGGGCGCGGGGCCTCCTGTCCGGGAGGCCTTCTGTCCAGGGGGCTGTAAGTGCGCTCTTTCTTTCCAGGGCCTATTTGCCAGGGGGGTGGGGACGATGCAGAGCCTGAAGGCCTGGGTTCCCAGCAGACCTGCAACCCTGTGACAGGTTGAATAATAACATTTTTGCATTTTCTTTACTCCTGAGTGTGTGTTTTGCAATCAAGACATACAAGTGTCTGCCGGTTTCTGAGGACAGGATCCTCAAGTGAAATTACAGTGCAAATAAAAAGCCTTTTGCGCCTGTTAAAATTCATCTGAGTCAGAAGTGGCTGGGAAAAGCAGAGAGTGCGTTCCGCTGTCAGTCTAGCAAACAGTCCAGGCAGAGGGACTATTTATCCAGGAGGAATCTACCTTCGAGTCCTTCATTAAACCTAGGAGGGAGGCAGGGAGGACGGGTGAATGAATTGCACAGTTTCTGTATCTGTGCTCTGCCTGCCTTGGAAAAGGAACCCCAACACCACTGGAAGCACAAGTGTCCGCAGCAAAGTTACTCCAGCTGACCTCACCCCAGGCCCACTGCGAGGGGCGCGGTCCCGGGCCTGCCTGTCCGTGTTCAGTGCGGGAGACAGACTCACTGCTTCCTGACTGGTTTTGCACAATTTGACTCCTACACGTAAACTCGAAATTCAGGGCAAGTATCTTTATGCAAAGAGAGTATAATAGAATTTATCACATTTCACCACAGTGAATATACCCTTAAAAGCCAATTTTTTACTATATCACAAACAAGACTTAATAGAAATAAAGGGCGAGGACTGCAGCGACTCCGTTTCTCCCCAGAAATTACAAGGTCCTGCCTAAAACTGGACCCTTTTATTATTTTTGTAATTTTCCTATCTTTTGGATTCCTTTCTCCGTAGGACTCCTGCTTTGCTTGGAAAGAGATGTAAAAGAGGCACAAAACCCGATGCCTTTAGATGCAGTCTTTGTTACTGATGAGATGTTCCTTTTCCTTTTGTATTTGTTTATTGTTCTTAAATCTGTTTGGGGGATAAGCGACTTATTGTAATCACAAGTAAAAAATAACAACGGGTAAACGCCTCCAGAGAGGCCTCCTTGCAAATACTTGGCTTAGAAATGACCTTTCTGAATATAAAGAGGAGGCAGAGAGAAGGTTCTCTTTTCAAGATTACCTTTGATGTTGTCCTAACCCCTTCGGCGTGCCCACACAAACACGCCTTCTTAAAACAAGCTCTGGGCTGGCCCGCGCGGGGGACAGAGGTGCTTGCCAGGCCGGGCCCGAGCTGGGGCAGTGGGCCCCGCAGAAGGAACTGCCTGGAGAGAACTGCAACAGCTCTGTGCTGCTCCAGAAGTCACTTAAGAACGTGCGCGAGGGCTTCCCAAGCTTACGATCACAACCACTACTGACTGGTTTCTCTGAAGGTTTAGGAGGCTCGGCAGGGATTTCAGGCAAGCGCCCGTGATGGGCACAGAGTTTGGCTTTATGCAAGGCATTTAGTTAAGTATTCCCAGTGGATTCCACAAAACTTCCAATGAGAGTTTGATTTTAAGTTAGTGCTTCCCCCCACCCCGCCCGCCCCCAAGCAGCTAAACCACAATGGTGATGTTTTGGGGGTGGGAGTCAAGGATTTCAACGGCCAGTAGACAGGACAGGGGAGGACTATTCTAGAAGCCAGAATGTTCTCCCCCTGCCAGGTCTTCTGCTTACATGATTAGAAGCTGCTCTTGGTGGGGCCTGAGTTGAGAAGCTTTGGGTTCACAGGTCGATGGACTTCATTCTGTGGATTTAAGGAGGTGCGCCCCCAAACCACAGACGAATTAGCGAGGACTGAACAAACCCCCCACCCTGTGTCAAAGCAGAGAACAGGTGCTCCCTGGCTGGGGCGGGGCTCCAGAACCACCCTGACAATGACTGGAGGTGTTATCTAATCATGGTAACAACGACCCCTCAACTCTAAGCAAATTAAAACTGACGGTGTCTGCGATGTCAGACCATATCTAACAAGAAAATTTCTCCCCACAAGTTCAAAACAAAGAAAAAGGAATCCTACCAGAGATGAAAGGACAAGAAAGAAAGTGGTGAGATGGACAATTAAAAGGCCCTAATGGGAGTGTCTTTAACACGGGCACACAGCTCCAAAGGGGGGGGGGGCCCTGAGGGATAGGGGAGGGCAGGGGCATGTGGTTGGGGGGCGGGGGAGAACCAGCGGGGGGCTAGGGAGGGGCTGATGCTGTTGAAAGGACTCAGTTAACACAACTTCCTGCCAGCGGCCCTGTGCACCTGTCAGGCTCACGCTCGGGGCCCAGAGAGAGGAAAGTTGCCCAGACTGGGGGTCACTCCACGCGATGGTCACAGGAGGCCCCGCCTTCCCAGCCGCTGGATTCGTGTAGTGCGGGATCTCCGCGTGGAGTTTACCCCACAGCCCCTGGCTAGGCCTCTGCGGGTCCCGGCACCTCACCCCCACACGCACTTCCGGATGGCGTCCAGCCTGCCGGCCCTCTGGAGTCCTCCTCGTCTGCTTTTCATGGTCTTCCCGTGGTGACTTCCGAGGCTCAGGTCTGGTTTCCAGTTCTAGCTCATTCTTCCCGTGACAGTTGGATGTGGAGAGTCAGTGCCGCTTGTTCAAGTCGATTGTGGGCCGGGTCAGCCAAGACCAAGTCAAGGGTGGGGGATGAACCTTCACTGGAGATCACTTCCCATCACATACCTTAGCCTCAAAGCCCTTGGCCACTCGTCGCCCCAAGTCAGGTGGCAGATCCATCCCTTCCCATGTAAGAATCTCTTCTTACTCAAAGTCTTGCGCGCCTTCTGGCCCCGACAGTGCTCAGCATCAGGCTGCCCTCGTTTCCAGGGAGTGCCCCGGGAGCACCCTGAAACTCTGCTCTCCTAACTCTGAGCCAGAGAAAAACTGCGCATGTTCCAAAGAAGCAGAAATGACGCGTCTTTAAAAACACTGGCGTGTCAAAAAAAACTAGGGGGAAAATAATCCCCCTAAACATAGATTACAACACCGAGGTGGAACTAGAATCAAACTCAACCTTGTTTTCCTTCCCGAAATTCTCTGTGGGTAGGTGGTTACCACTTGGAGCAAACTTAGCAGGGGTTCAGAGCCACACAAGATGCATTCCAATCCATTTCAGCATCCATCGGGCTCAATGAAACCGACCAAAATCAGCCAGAAGAGCCCCAGCTCGTGGCCATCCCAGGCCGAGAAGGTGCCACCACAGACAGCAGAGCGCGCCCGGTCCAGCTGCAGCCAAGCAGCCGGTTAGCATGACGCTGTGACAACTCCATCGGCCCGTCTCAGGGTAGCTGTCAATCAGGATGCATCATTTAATCCAACAGCACTCGGAGGACTTTCTCCGACAACCCACATGACAGCCTATCTACAGCTCTATTTATATCAGCGCCCAGTTGTGTTTACAATGCGGGTGTAATTAGAAAAGATGCAACAGGCAGCAATATTATTGAGATTTCCATTTTGCAGCACTGCCCTGCAAAGGGTGATCTAGCTTCAGAGTCATGCTAAATGACAAAAGGCTATTTTCTTCCATCTCCCAGCTCAGACAGCACTTCATTCGCAGCTATCTATAATTAGATTAATGGTGTAGTGTGGTACAAAGCATCCCACTTCACATCAGATAGCATATGAATTAGGACAAACACTTATTTCAATTCCAGGCAGAGAAAGCAATGACTGGGGTATTTAGCATACCCTTTATGGTGGAATGAGATGTTAATTGTGTACCATTACCTCTAAACTGCTTGCTTGTAGTATAAATCACTCTGCTAATTGATGCAGAGATAGAAATGTAGCCACAGGCAAGAAAGCAAAGGAATGAGAGCTGAAGATGGTGGATAAAGGATTATCAAGTAAAACCATATGGAGATGAGGTTCCTTTGAAACCTTTCCTTTCTGCCCATGAGCAAGATTCCTTAAAACTACCCAAAAACTCTTGTGCTCACAAAGATAATTTGATTTTTTTCACATT